TCTCTCTCTCTCTCTCTCTCTCTCTCTCTCTTCGGCTTTCTTTTTGATTTGGTAGCTGTAATTTTTGAAGATTCTCGTCCCCGTACCGGTGACGTCAACCGCCTGCGTCCGCGCGCGCGGTCGACGCCCCCCCAAGGGGAAGAAAGCCTAGATTTCACCATCCTCTTTCGACGCACTAATCCTGAGAGAGAAGGATTGCACTGAGTTGTTGTATGGAGACGGTGTTGATTAGGATGACCGGGAGCGCGGGGTCTTGCCCGTGCTCATCACTTACCTCCGATCGTCTCACCTCGCTACCGGCCTTCCCCATCGAAGATGACAACAGTGTCTACTGCGATGCTGATGTACGACGCGCTCTGAGGCGAACGGAGCAAGTTTGTTGGCGAGACCCGCCTCGGGCGTGTAACATAAGGGGAAATGGGTTCGTCTTGATTGATCGTTTTGACTCCCCGACCCTGATATTGCCGTATGCCGATTTGACGATGTTGCCTGGGTCAACAGCTCACGCCACGTGGCGGCCGCAGTTCGATTGCCGCTGGTGTCGCCAGGGAGACTCTTGCTCCYGGCGATGGCTTGTTCTAGGATACGAGGGAGCGGCCCGCTTCCCCGAGCTTTCTCGTAACGCGGGTGCGCTGCCCGCGCAATTTCGAACTYGGGTCCTGGTGGGCTCTCCCGCCGCTCCGCCCTCACGGGAAATCCCGCGCGGACTTTATGAGTCCGACGCCGAGGCCTAAAGGCCTCGAACCCACCACCTGTACAACGAAACGCTGACGGCCAGGCCTCCTGTACTTCGTCGCCATGGCCTCCTCCCTCTGGTGTCTTTTCCCGTTGTGATTCATGACGGCAGTGCATTTTTGCGGAACCATTCCGATCTCTTTGCTCCGAAGTAACCCGACCTCCGCGGGACTCCGCGGCGATAGTTCGATTCCGGGGTGACCTCTGGCTCGAAACAAGAGCCTCCCGTTCTGACCAGGAGACTCAACCCCCACGGCCAAAAATCCTCGGCCACGCCCCTCCTAGAACTCTGATTGGCGACCCCGTATGGGAAGCCGCGAGGGGGCGTGAGGTTGGTATCAGAGCTGATTCGTTTCAGCTCCGAGGTTTTCCTGGGACAACTACCTTGTTTGGAGTTTCCCTTGTTGATCCTTCCCATTTTTAAGTTTTTCTTGTTTAGAGTAGGCTGGCTCCTCGTCGATGTCGGGCCGCGAATAACAACCCGAACCGGGCGAGAGGCCGTGCTCGAAATCCGCCTCCCGCGATGGTTGAACCCGGGAACGGGGGAGGGGAAGGCGGCGATAACCACGCGGCGATGGCCGATCATCCCCTGTATTTTGTGCCTCCTCCCTCCGAAGTTCCCTTTTTCTCTGAGGATGAAACCGATCCTCGCACCTGGCTCGCTGCCTTGAGGGCTTAGGGCTGGTCAGACCAGCTGCTCCGGGAACGAATTCCTGGAAGGTTAGCCGGAACTGTTTTTGAGTGGTACGGACAGAACCCCTTCACTAATTAGCTAAACTTCCAAAGGAAATTTCTTGAACGATTTGATCACACTGCACCAGGACAGTGCCCTCGTTTGATAAAGGAATATACGCAGCAGCCTCGGGAGACCCTAGCTAGATACGCGGACTGTTTTACCTACCTAGCCGAACGCTCCGGGGTGGACGAGAAAATGGTACGCACCGATTTCATCAGAGGATTGCCAGATTCTCGCTTGCGGAAAAAGATCCGCAAGAAATACAACCCTATAGAACATACCCTGATGGAGCTCATTCCGTACGCTATTAAGTACGGGAAAGAAAATGACGATGTGGGCCTGGACTCAGAATCCGATGAAGATGATCCTTCGAGTGTTCGACGCCATAGCTACTCCGCTACGGCACGGATGTTCGAGGATCGCTTCAGGTTAGGGCCGGCGAAAAAAGGCTCGGATCGGCAAATTTCTTCCGCCGCTTCGACCTCCCGTCGCTCTAATCAAGCTCAAGGAGGCCGGGACGAGGAAGAAATATCCATGAAAGAAGTCGCGGCCCAACTAGTTACGGTAGTGGCCCCGTTGACAGAGTTCGTTCAAGGATTGCAGTGGCAACGTATAGCCGCTGCACAACGGCAGCAAGCGGCTATGGCCGCTGGGTCCCCTGTGATAAGACCAGCCGTGGCCGGAGCTGACCCGCCCCTACGCTGTTATGACTGTAATCAGCCCAGCCACCTTGCGAAGGACTGTCCGAAGCCCAGACCCGCGGTCGGACCTTCCCGAATCCCGTTAGCCGCTCGTGCTGCTGCAGGAGAAGGGAGGGTAGCTACGGTAACGGACACTGCAACGACGGAAATGGTAACCCCTGCGGCCCCCGAGATAGGACCCGATGAGTATATGGCGGCGGCGATGTTCAAACCCGGGACCATTGGAGTGATACGTCACGTCCAACGGATTACATAGGAAAGCGACCTCGGGCCTTGGCGACCAGGGTTCGAAGATCTTACGGCGCTTGGCCCTGAATACAAAGACAACCATATCGATGTATTGGACGCCTTAAAGGGTCAGGACTTACGGATCCCCGTCCCTATCCCTTATCCGCTAACCATTTCCGAAGCGGCTAACGAGAAACTGATCGAACGATGCCTCAAGAATAGGCGTCGGTTCGAGGAGAACCGAAAAGGCAAAAAGCCGGCTATGCGGGACCCACCTACGGTCGAAAAGGTGCAACCCTCGACCTCGAGGGTTCACGAAGCGAACCGGGTAGGGAAGATCCAGACCGTGGATCCTGCCCCGGAAAAACTTAAGGTGTTCCTTCGAGACTACCCCATAACTTGGAAAAGCGTTGAGTGTGACTCTGAGGTCTGGGGAAGCCCCTCGGCCGCAGTCCTCGACTCGGGATCGTTGGCTGTCGCTTTTTCTTGGGGATTGACGAAACGGCTGGGAAGGGAAGGACAAATTCAGCCCCTCCGTCCGGATGAACTATATATATCCGCCACGGAAGATAACATTCATTGTAAGGGGCGGATAACGAACGTACCTATATGGGTGGGGCGGGTGCATTGTCTGTGCGACACAATCGTATTGGACGTACAGGCGTAGGATGTTCTGTAAGGCATTCCGTGGCAGGGGACGGTTGGAGCGAGAATACACTTTGACAGCTGTAAGGTGGTGCTCACATCGGCCCACCCCAAACCTCAAACGATACCGATGAGACTGGCCGTACGTATGTGCACTCAGCCGACGCCTCGGATCGCCACGAAGGTCCATCAGATTAACATGATCCGATGCACGTCACCAGGCGAAAATGAAGTCTCGTCGGAAATCGACGAGACTGATGAACCCGGCCGATATCCGATCCGAATGCAGGACCAGGGGCGCCACTCTTGGCGACGAGAACCAATGGAAATTGTCTGGAGTGAGTCCAATTGGTCCCACACGTTCTCGTCCATCGTGCAAGGAGAACCCCTACTGAGGGTGTCCCGAATAACTGACCTTTCGGAACCCCCTGCGTCCTTCTATCTCCAAACGTACACCTTACACGAAAGATTTACCGAGGTTAGGGGGCTGTGCAATTTGTCTGTCCGACCTCCGCGGCCCCTACTTACGAACGCAAAGGCCGCCCTGCTCTTGAAGGAAGGGGTGTCGTTTCAACCCCGAACGAGGGAATATCGGTGGGGATCGAGGGAACTGACGCAGGCCTTTTCGGTGGAACCCTCGGCCGAACCCGAACTCGAGAGTGACAGTGATATGGAAAGTGAGCCCATAAGCCCAGCAGACAACCAACTTATCGCGTCTGTCCTTTCGGCAAAAACCGACAACTCCTTATTCGGTGCCTCGCCCGACGCCAGCGCGGCGGTCCCCACGGTGACATCGACGGTCTCCCTTCCTGGGGGAAACGTGGAAGTCCAGCTACCAGCCCGTGTTCCTGACGAATACAAATGCCTTCTCCTGGCAGTTATACGGGCCTATCTTGAGGCCGTCAGTATTCAGGACCACGACATAGGGCTAACCCACTTGATCCAGCACGCGATTGATACCGAGGATCACGCCCCGATACATTGCCGACCGTATCGCTATTCCCTCAAAGAAAGACAGCTGGCGTTGGAAAGGGTACGGGAATTCGAGCGGTTGGGGTGGGTCGAACCATCACTGGGACCATGGTTCTTTCCCGTGATCCTCGTGCCAAAACGAAACAGTTCGATCCGGTTGTGTATTGACTACCGAAAATTGAACGCTATTACTATCAAGGATGTCTATCCACAACCGCGGATTGACGGCCTACTCGATGCCACCGGGTCCGCTCGAGTCTTTTCGAAGTTCAATATCCGACACGGTTTTCACCATGTCACAGTCCGACCGGAGGACTGGCCCAAAACCGCTTTTGTCCTATTCGAAGGCACGTGGCAATGGGTCCGTTGTCCCATGGGAATTTGCAACGCCCTTGCGACGTTCCAGCGGGCCATGAATATGGCCTTTGCTGAGTTCGTTAACAAAACCCGACTAACTCAGCCCTTAATCAATTTCTGCGAGATTGTGTATATGGATGATATTTTGGTGTTTTCGAAGACGCATGAGTACCACGTGGAACACATTGAGTGGGTTTTGCATCCACTGAAAGATGCGGGGTTCAAAGTGGCTTTGGAGAAAAGTGTGCTCTTCCTGTCGGAGATCTCATATTTGGGATACATCGTCACTGTCGATGGACTGAAGCCGGATCCGAGGAAGGTGGCAACAGTCCAAGAAGCCCCCGCTCCGGTCACGCTCACCCAGGTTCGAGCCTTTCTAGGGCTGGCTTCTTATTACCGACGCTTCATCAAAGGGTACTGGTGTGGCGAAGCCCCTAACGAACGTGTTGAAGAAAGAGGATTAGTTGATCTAGAGGACGGAATGCGAAGCGGCTTTTCAGGCGTTAAAAGAGGATCTGACATCTGCGTCTGTGCTGGCGCGTCCCGACCCAACAAGACCGTTCGCGCTGCACACCGATTGGCAGCCGCAGGCGATATCGGCGGTGCTGACTCAGCATGGGGCGGACGGAAAGGAGCACATCATCGAGTACGCGTCAAAGACGCTGAGCCAGGCACAGTCTAATTACGAAGCGTATAAAGTCGAATGCTTGGCGGTGGTGTGTGGGATTCAACATTTCCGACCGTATCTTTGTGGCCAGAAATTTGTATTGGTAACGGATCATCAGCCCCTGCTATCCCTACGCAACAACACAGACTACACGGGGACGCTAGGAAGGTGGGCGGTGTGCCTGCAGGACTATGACTTCGATATTCGTCACCGTGCCACGCGGCAGCAGGGGAACGTCGATGGATTGACGCGCCTCCTGCCGCCCAACAAGTGTCCCGCCAACGAGCGACTCATTCCGTGGAAGCCGGAAGCCACTCTGACGAATCCGTGCTACGGGGAGCTGCACGTGCTGCGCAAGGACGGTGCTTGAGTCTAGAATGGAGATCTCGCTAGAGATGGCGGAGGCTATCTCTTTGCCCTCGTCCAGTTCTCTTGCTCCCTCGTCTAGTCCCAACTCCTCCTTTGAGCAACATCTAAGTTCTTGTTTCTTCTATACTTTTCCTATGGTCCCGGATCGAGAAGGGTCACATCCGGGAGGGCCCAGTTTCCTTCTATGGGTGTAATGTAGTCAGTGTCAAACGGTCAATTCTCACGGACAATGCGTTAGGTACCAGAGTGCAAAGACATGGGTCTTTCCCAACTGTAGAACGGACCAAGTCCCTACCGAGAAGCGGTATCTAGACACACAGATAGCCGACGGATTTGCGTTAAGTGCTCACCGGGCAGAAGTCTGGACGGACCTCCTGTTGCTAAGGAGACTGACAGGCGACATGCTGACAGAACTTACCAAAGCCGAACGGCGGCGAGTCACGGAGCGGGCACAGGATTATCGCTGGCAGGGATCGACGTTACAAAAACGAAAGGTCGATGAGGACGGAGGGTGTAGCTGGTTGACAGTTCCGCACCCTTTCGCTAGGTTCGATTGGACACGAGCAGCTCATGAAGAGGATGCAGTCCACTTCGCGGTCAAATACACAGAAAAGGCCATCGAAAAGAATGGATGGTACATGTCGGGGGTTTGGGAAGATGTGAAAAACATCGTCCAGAATTGCCCGGCGTGCGCGGCGGATAAGGCGCCAGTACAGATGCCTCGGACGATGGCGCCTTCTCGAGTAGAACGCCCCTTTCAGCGGGTCAGTATCGATATGACGGATATCAATGTTTCGAGAGGTCCCATCGATCACGGAGAGCTTAATGTCCTTCTGGTACATAAACCGATTTTTGTGCATGCACCTAGACGTAGAAGAGGCACACATGGACAATGGGTCGGAATTTCAAGGCGAAGTGGAACATCACCTAGTAAGGGCTGACATTAAGATTATCTACTCGCCAGGGCATTGGCCTCAAGCCAATGGCCTGGTAGAAAATGCCAACCGACTGATCAAGACCGCTCTTAGACGGAATATCACTGCCGGAGACACCCGGCACTGGCCTGTCATTGTTGACCACATTTTGGCCGTTTATCGGGCTACCCCACACGGAAGTACTGGGGTGTCCCCCTTCCAACTAAGAACCAATAGTGTCCCTCGGGTGCAGTTGTCCCCCTTGGTAGGTACGGAAGTTAGAGCAACACGAGCCCAGCACAGAGATAAGGCCCGCCACTACATGGACTTAATTGCTAGGGCCTATCACCCGTTAGCCCGCCGCCAACAGCAGGCCGTAGATCGGACGCATCAAGGGCAGATCCGTGACTACGAGAATCGACATGCGTCGGCGGGACCGCTGCCTCGCTATAAAGTTGGGGACTTGGTACAGGTACGGAAATCCGCGCGCTCCTCCAAGATCCACCTGCGCTATATAGGTGTTTACGAGGTAATGGAAGTTGGCGCACAAGGACAACACTCCGTGAAGCTGATTCCCCGTCACAACTCTCAGGCCCGACCACTCACACGGCACGCTGCTGCGCTCCGGCCCTTCCAGCCATCGCTAGGCCACGTGCGGACCCCCACTGTTGCGGGATCGACTTCTTCTTCTTCTTCTTCTTCTTCTTCTTCTTCTTCTTCTTCTTCTTCTTCTTCTTCGTCTTCTTCCTCTCCCTGATTTCCCTCATCCCTCGAAGTGGAAAGTCTAAACGCGCAGGATGAACCATCGCCAGTTGGAGTATGAGCCCCTTGAGCATTTCCAGACGCCGATTGCGGATCGCTGGCTGCGACATCAGTTCAATGAGGAGCGACATTTGCGCTACGACATTCAGCAGGTGAACGTGGCCGCGCCCGAGGTTCCCGACCGGGCGGCATACTCTTTGCTTTGTGAAAGGTTGACGTATGCGGGGGTGTACGTGGATGTCACGCAGTTGCCCGGGCGGGAGACAACTCGGGTGTTTATAGAGTTCCGTGCCCTCCAGGTGGCACCCAACTTCGTGTACAGCATCGCCACCTCTAGGGATAGGGAGGGCACCGGTTCACGGCCTACGACACGTTGCTGCGCAGGGCAGAAGACGGACCGATTGCGCTGGTGCCGCAGCTCCCGGCGCTTCTTCCTCTTGCCGCCCCTCTCAACATCCAATATATTCCCCCACCTCCATACTAAATGCCTGCCTTCTTCTCTTACACCACTCTCCCCTACCAACTCACGGCGGACCCTTATCCTATGCGCGAGTTCCCGATGTACTTAGTGGGACTTACGGACGTGGAGCCGCTACCTTTCGCAGACGAAGACGCGTGGGAGTTGCATCGCACGCTATACAATCAGTGGTGCTGGGCATGTTCAGGTTCTTCCTGGCGCACAACGATCACAACATAGGGGAGCACTTCGTCGTCTACTACGTCATCACGCGGCCCAAGCCGGCGGAGAAGGAAGGCACGGTGGCATTGTATCCGTTTGGGAAGCTTCAGACGAACGATTCTGGGCTGTTGGAGCTCATACATCTTGAGTTCCTATCCATCGCGCAGGTAATCGCGAGCGAGGAAGAAGATATCCAGCCACGATTGCGGACGCAATCGCCCCGCGGAGGACGTACAACGCGGTCGTTGTCCCGGATTACATTGCGCAACACGAGGAGAGGGTGGTGGATTTCCGCGACGAGAAGCCATTGCGACCTCCCTCGTCGTATCCAAGACCCGCGCCGCCTAAGGCCCCCTGGAAGACACTGAAGAGGAAGCGACGCCACCCGTCGCCAGAAGCACAAGGCAGTCGAATCGATGGCGGCGAAGAAGTGGTTCAGCGCGTGCACGCGCGAAGTCCCGATCCAGAGCCTGCACGGGCGGCGACGCTGGTGGAAGAGCCTGTCGTGCCATCGCCGCCTATCCCGCGCCTGCCTGACCTCAATCTCGATGGAGCCGGGCCATCAGCAGCAGCAGCAGCAGGAGGAAGTCGAGTGGGATTACCGCATCCCGCATCCAGACCCCCGTCCTCGCGAGACCTTTCCGCTTCCGCCAGCCACCCCGGAGTACTCCGATCATTGTTATTAGCAGTTCCCTCGAGCCAGACGGTCCACCCGACGAAGTTGGACTTCAGGGTGGAACCCACCACCATCAGACTTAAGGCCATCACGGGGGTGCCACGTCCTAATCCGGTGTGGGAGCCATATCTAACATCCCCTTTTCAAGGGTGTATCGCGGCGCGGATGATTGGGACCCTCATCTACGAGACCGGGCAGCGTCCCAATGCGATGTATCACTTTCTCATCTTCACGGCGCTGAAGCGGGAGCGACGGCCCTACACCGAGACTCATCTGGTCATGACAGGTCCCGGACCTCGATCGGTGCGCAAGCGGGTGATGCGAGCGGTGGCGGATCTAGCGCCACGTGTCCTGTCCCATGTGCCGGGGGCCTTCCTCTATCCTTTGTTCGTCCAGCACCACTTCCATGAAGTGGATGCGCCGACGACTCCCCCGGCGATGGCCGCCTTTCTTCCGCCCATCCCACCCCCTCTTAACCCCGATATCGATCACTTCGTCTGATCATCCTCGTCTCCAGCTCTCCTCTTTTCCCCCTTCTCCTCCTTCTCTTCCTCTCTTTCGTCTTCTACTCTGAGGGGGGGAGAGTTCACGCGTCAGAATCGTGCTATGTTTAAAAAAAAAAAAAAAAAAGTGTCAGTTACTTACCGATCGGGCCAGCTGACAATGAAGAGGCCGCCCGATCAGATGTATAATATGGGAGGAGGCGATGGAGGATGCAGAAGGCATCCACGTAGATTAGGAGGATGATCGGCCCAGCAGACGATGAAGAGGCCGCCCGATCATCCGCGACATGATGACATCAGCAGTCGGGAGACTGCTCATTTTTTCGGAACCCCCTGCGCATCACACATGTGATAAGCTCAGATCCGTACTGCGCGGCTTTCCGTATCCTTGAGGAAAAATCCTCCGAAAGCCCCAAAGTATGGACCTGAATGAGAGGAACTTTTCTTTCTTTGCTGCTTTATTTTTTCTTCTTCTTTCTCTTTTCAGACAGCTTTTCACTTTCTTTGGTTAATGATTCCCGCGCAGCTGACTAGCGGCCGAACCAAGAAACGATTTCGGCCAGGACTTTTCAGGAATTTGAATTTTGCGCACGCGGCTGGGCTTCGAATTCCGCAAGCGCTTCGCACCCCCGTTTCTTCCTTCCCATCTGCAAGCCGTCTCCCTTTCTTGCTGCGCGCGCTTCCCCCATGTCGGACCCTTCGTCTCCCCGCACGCAAAGCTCGATCCTTACCCCGTCTTCCTCCGCGAGTGATTGGCCGTGTAGTTGGGATGCTTGGATCAATGTGGAGAGCTGGAAAACGCGCACCACTTGAACGAACACCCCAATCACGTACGGCCATTTCGACTCTGCGATCGAACCCTCTAACTCCCCACCTTTCTTCTGTCCTGCTCATCTACACCCTGCGCTGCCCGCACCTCGCGCTCACAACCCGCCGCCTCCCGCGCTATAAATTCACGCAACCCTCTCCTCTCCTCCTCTTTGATCTCGGCTGCAATGCTGCGCGAGCTATGTGCGAAGTCCGCGGTGCCGAACAGGCTCGACGAGCCCAAGGACGGGCGGAGTGACAACGTGGGGTGGACCCGCGGTAGTCCCGGGGCGATGCAGTCGGAGGGACTGAGCAGTGGTGGAGATTGGACACCGACCGCGGCGGGGCCTTGTGGCTATGGTGGTCGGTGGTCTTGGGAAGTTCTGAAAGCTGCGCCTGGGGGCGGCAGTTATCTGAGAATTTTGTATACCAGAAGGACTCGCTTTTATCTCCATTCTTGCTTTGTCATACGCATGGGCTATGTCGAAAGTCAATGGATGATTGGATATCTTGTTGATTGTCGTGGTTACACACATGAGAGTGTATGTGTGTATGTGCTTATCCTGGCGGGGACGGGGGAGTTGAGTGGCATGACCATCTGCTTGGGAGTATGAGTGTGTTGATCCCATCGTCCCCCTCCCTTCCACAGCCCTCCCTCGTGCACGCGCAGTCTCGGTGTGAACTCTCTTCCTCTCTCTCCTCTCTCTCTCTCTCTCTCTCTCTCTCTCTCTCTCTCTCTCTCTCTCTCTCTCTCTCTCTCTCTCTCTCTCTCTCTTCGCCTTTCTTTTTGATTTGGTAGCTGTCGTTTTTGAAGATTCTTGTCCCCGCACCGGTGACGTCAACCGCCTGCGTCCGCGCGCGCGGTCGACGCCCCCGCAAGGGGAGGGAGCCTAGATTTCACCATTCTCTTCCGCACTAATCCTGAGAGAGAAGGATTGCACTGAGTTGTTGTATGGATTCGGTGTTGATTTGGATGACCGGGAGCACGGGGTCTTGCCCGTGCTCATCACTTACATCCGATCGTCTCACCTCGCTACCGGCCTTCCCCATCGAAGATGACGACATTGTCTACTGCGATGCGGATGTACGGCGCGCTCTGAGGCGAACGGAGCAAGTTTGTTGGCGAGACCCGCCTCGGGTGTGTAACATAAGGGGAAACGGGTTCGTCTTGATTGATCGTTTTGACTCCCCGACCCTGATATTGCCGTATGCCGATTTGACGGTGTTGCCTGGGTCAACAGCTCACGCCACGTGGCGGCCGCAGTTCGATTGCCGCTGGTGTCGCCAGGGAGACTCTTGCTCCTGGCGATGGCTTGTTCTAGGATACGAGGGAGCGGCCCGCTTCCCCGAGCTTTCTCGTAACGCGGGTGCGCTGCCCGCGCAATTTCGAACTTGGGTCCTGGTGGGCTCTCCCGCCGCTCCGCCCTCACGGGAAATCCCGCGCGGACTTCATGAGTCCGACTCCGAGGCCTAAAGGCCTCGAACCCACCACCTGTACAACGAAACGCTGATGGCCAGGCCTCCTGTACTTCGTCGCCATGGCCTCCTCCCTCTGGTGTCTTTTCCCGTTGTGATTCATGACGGCAGTGCATTTTTGCGGAACCATTCCGATCTCTTTGCTCCGAAGTAACCCGACCTCCGCGGGACTCCGCGGCGACAGTTCGATTCCGGGGTGACCTCTGGCTCGAAACAGGAGCCTCCCGTTCTGACCGGGAGACTCAACCCCCACGGCCAAAAATCCTCGGCCACGCCCCTCCTAGAACTCTGATCGGCGACCCCATACGGGAAGCCGCGAGGGGGCGTGAGGTTTTGCGCATCACAAGCCGCACTGCCACCCGCACGACAGAGTTTCATACCACACGCCCCCAACAGCAGACAGAGAACCCGCAAGCCCGCCCTCCTCCTCACGATTCAAGGCGGATCACACCTCTACCCACACTCTTCATTACCAAAAGGCACCAGCTCTCACCATGATGGTGCTTTTGCAAGCCACCGGATGCACCCTACCACCCGCGCGGCAGGGGCTGAGGACCCCGCGTGGCAGGGGCTGAGGACCCCGCGTGGCAGGGGCTGAAGACCCCGCCAAACCCTCCCTTCTCCTCGGAATTGAGGGTGCTCCACCTCCCCAATCTACATCAGCTCCCTAACGGAGCTTTACGGCCCTCCATGATGAAGTCCGGGCAGAGCTGCGCTCACCCATCAATCCCTGAAAAACGGATGAAAGCAAGCCCCAAAACAGATCGCAAAACAACGAACGCTGCCACAACAACATGTACAACCAAACCCACAGAAACACCCCACCTTCGGCACGGCAGTTGCCACAACCGCAAACCCTCCCACCTCCTTGTGACACGGGGCGAACTGCTCCACAATCCGCTTCCTCTCCCTAAAATACCGCCCACCGTGATGGGATCTCTGCAGAAAGAAGCTCACTCATTCCTCTCCCTGCTAGTGGCCTCAGGCCGGCCTCCCGCTGGACTGATGATTTCATCCTGCTTTGTAGAAAGAAGCTCACTCATTCGTCTCCCTGCTAGTGGCCCTCAGGCTGGCCTCCCGCTGGACTGATGATTTCATCCTGCTCGGGGCACCAGCTTGCAGGCAACAGGCCAACACAACACTCACTTACAATGAAGAGAGCATTCGTGGGGCCATGTTTTGGACATTGTGGTGCCTCTAGAACTCGGGGATCCTGCATGGGAAAAGGATGGCTCTGCCAATGGTCAGGGCAGAAACCAAATGCGCAATCAAACAGACCATCTCCAGCGCATTGTCTCCCAGGGTGCTGAATAAAGGATGTTTCTCGCGAGCTCTGAAAAAGTTCCATAGGCATTGGGAACACTTCCCAGACTTGGCGCGCGTACCGAAATGTTCACAGCGCGCCACTAATCGAGAGGGCGCGCCCACGGGGCCGGGTACACGGCGGGCGTCGATGCGCATGAATATCTGAACGCGCCCGCCGTCGGATAGCAAGAAAGTGTCGTTTCGTGCCCCGGCCCCTTTTTATTTCTTTTTTTTTTTAGTTTTGTATTCTTTTTGTGATTTTTTATTATCTTTTTTACTTTTAGTTTTTATTTTCCCCTTCTGGTGTGTCGTTTTGTTTTCTTTTTTTTCTTTTTATTACCTTTTTACCTTTTTTCTATTTCTATTCTATTCGTTCTGTTTCCGACCAAAAAAAAAAATTTACATTTTTCTTAGTTTTTTGTTAATTTGTAGTTTTTTTCACTTTTTTGGGGGGGCGGCTTTTTTTTTTCTTTTTTTTTTGGGCTACCGAATTGTTCGCTGCGCGCCAGAAAAGGAAAGGGCGCGCCCGCGGGGCCAAGCGGCGTCGGGCGTCGATGCGAGGGATTATCTTGAAGCGCCCGCCGCTGGACAGAAAGAAGGCATCGTTTTGCGGGCGGGAATGTGGTTTCTTTTCTTCTTCTTTTTATTTGTGTTTTGGGTGTTTCTCTTTTTTTTTCTTTTTTTTTTGTGTTATGGGTGTTGCGGGGAGATACATTTCAGAAGTGTCTTTTTTTTTTGTTGCTGTTTCTTTTTTTATATTTTACTTTCAGTTTTTTTTTCTCGATTGTGTTTTTCTTTTTCTTTGGTTCTTAGTTCGATTTGTCTTTTTCTTTTATTGTCTTTTATATTTGGTTTTGTTTGCCCGCGTTTTTCGGGGTTTTGTGGGCTGGACGTTATTGGAATGACTGCATCCATGAACTATTGAAGTACAGACCCAAGCTTGAATCCAGATGATGGAACTCGATGAGTTGCCTGGGGCGGATGAGCTCAAGGCCGTCGCCCATTGCTTGTAAAAAAAAAGGAAAAAGGACAAAAAAAAGGAAGAAGAAATTGGAGAAATGGAGAAATGGGAGGAAGTATGGCGATGTATGCGTGTTTGTCAGAGATAATGAGACGAAGTTAACCCATGTGTGTGTGTGCGTGTGCGTGTGTGTCAGAGAGAATGTGGACAAGTGTGTGTGTGTGTGTGTGCTATGGCGCATATGTGTCATAGGTACACAGCCTGCCTGTTCATGTGTGTGTGTATGTGGTTCGGCGCGCCGTGTAGCTATGGCGTGCGTGAATGAAAGAAAATGGAGAGATTGGACGAAGTATGGCGATGTGTGCGTATGTGTGCATGTGTGTCAGAGAGAATGAGACGAAGTAAACCAATGTGTGTGTGTGTGTGTGTGTGTGTGTGTGTGTGTGTGTGTGTGTGCGTGTGTGTCAAAGAGAATGTGGACAAGTGTGTGTGTGTGCTATGGCCCACATGTGTCATAGGGCTCGCCACACCACTTTCGAAATGTACAAAAGACAAAAATGTGGCAGTCGCATCTGGCCATGTTCTAGAGGGAAGTTCATTCTCATTTTGCACATTTCGAAAGTGGTGTGG